TTCTCCTCGCTGTAGACGGGTTGAGATATGGAAGTACAAGATATGGGATTCTATATTTAATCTGAGGAGAGCAAACACTCGGCAGGGGTAATGTACTTTTCACGGTCAAATGTGCTCCCGTAATTCACAGATTAGTTCATAGAGAGAAACCCAGGATTTTCAGTTATACAATTACCGCTGCTGCTGCTGCTCATTATGGCAGGCATCACTATCTAATGTGAACAGTTTACAGTCCGGTCAATTTAAAAATGTTATACTTATAGTTTAAATAATGTAAAGGTAGACAACTATTAGGTCACATTTTGTGCAATACATTGCTATTGAGCATGTATATATCCATCCATCCATCCATTTTCATCCGCTTATCCGGGGCCGGGTCGCGGGGGCAGCAATCTAACCAGGGACTCCCAAACTTCCATCACCCCAGGCACGTCCTCCAGCTACTCCCTGGGAACCCCGAGGCGTTCCCAGGCCAGCCAAGAGACATAGTCCCTCCTGCGTGTCCTGGGTCTTCCCCGGGGACTCCTCCCGGTGGGACATGCCCAGAACACCTCCCGAGGGAGGCGTCCAGGAGGCATCCGGAACAGATGCCCGAGCCACCTCAACTGGCTCCTCTCGACGTGGAGAAGCAGTGGTTCTACTCCGAGCTCCTCCCGTGTGACTGAGCTCCTCACCCTATCTCTAAGGGAGCACCCAGCCACCCTGCGAAGGAAACTCATTTCGAGCGCTTGTATCCGCGATCTCGTCCTTTCGGTCATTACCCAGAGCTCATGACCATAGGTGAGAGTAGGAACGAAGACTGACCGGTAAATCGAGAGCTTCGCCTTTCGGCTCAGCTCCCTCTTCACCACAACGGTCCGATACATCGACCTCATCACTGCAGACGCTGCACCGATCCGCCTGTCAATCTCACGTTCCGTCCTTCCCTCACTCATGGACAAGACCCCGAGATACTTGAACTCCTCCACTTGAGGCAAAGACTCCCCACCCACCCAGAGAGGTGGGTATATATATATATATATATATATATATATATATATATATATATATATATATATATATATATAAACCCACCTCTTTTTTTTTTTATCATAGTAACATGCTGTTGTTGTGTCCATGGGCAACAACCTTCCTTATGTACAAAACAGGGACTGCGCCAGACATTTTTGGGTGGAAGAGCTATGGGGTGCTAAGTTCTTCAGTGTTTGTGCTCACTTAACATGTTGACTGTTTCTGGATGTGAGTGCACCCCAACCCCCAACCGTGCCTGCTTTGGTGTTTTAAACTAGTTTAAATGTAGTTAGCCCCTGTAGTGATTTATCTTTTATTGTAATCTCATTTTGACACTCCGTGGTTTCCATTTGAATGCTTTTAGTCAAGATTGAATGTCCGATGAAAATGGGGCAAATCTTTGGAGGAGCTATGGGGGTGCATTGGTGCAATGGCCATTCGAGGCAAAGCTAGTGCCCCCTCAAGCCCCCACCTTCCCCCTCCTGGTGCCGCACCTGGTGAAAGTGTGTGAGTCACTGATCAGTTGTGGTTGGAGGTGCTGTAGGCGCAGACTGGCAGCCACACTTCAACCAGTTTAGCCCAGTACAGCTATGATGACAAAAACAGCTTAAGACAACTGAGTGTGGGAGTGAATGATGGGCCTACCTTAGCACTTTGATGCTCTTGTCAGGCTTGTAAAGGCATCATGTAAATCTAAGTTAGTCATTTTCTTTTTATGAATAGGATTAAAAGTGAAGGGAGGCATTTGGCAAACGGTCAGAGATGTGACTTAAAAATTAAAAGGTACAAGAGACTTGCCCTGCATACAGCAACATGGAAGCATTTCTAAATTAGTAGTTTGAACCTTCATTTCGCTGGCCTAATAAGTCCCTATGTCATTTTGGCCAAATTGAGTTTCTTGTCTCATTTTACTTTTACGTCTTACATATTCCAGACCCTGTTGCATCTGTTGGTGTCATTGGCTTTGTAATTGATCAATCAAAACAAAGAGATTTACAAACAAATAAACAAAACAAAACAAAACAAAAACGTGAACTGCTTTTTTCATCTTATTGAAATAATATGTTTACTTTGTATTTTCCTGAAAACCTTCAAAAATGACTTAAGAAATGATCCTAATAATGATCATGTAATAGATTTTTCTGTATGTAGGTATCAAAAAACAAAACTTTACAATGCAGTGCAGTCAGTGGTTGTGTTCACATCTGATTATTATCTGATTCTGGACATTTAAGATTATTTAAATAACATGTAAAGCACAAAATCGCATATATCAAAGGAACCATAAGCAGAGAAAAATTTGATGATTTTGCTGTTTTTATAGTCTTATAATTTTAAAAAACTGATGATAAACATATTTTTAGTACACATAGCTATAGATTCTCCCCTTAAAGTTCCCGTATTAGGCAAACTTGAATCTATGAGCTTTAAGGCACATTATAATGTTGTTACTTCCTCAAAAACATACCTGGAGTTGTGTTTTGTTTCATTCACACATGTTTGAGTAATCCTTTATTATTAGTCTGTAGTAGTAGCAGTAGTAGTTTTCACAGCTAAGTTTTAACTTTAGTTCAGTAGAGACTGGTTAAAATAATCCAGATGATTCTAGTGAAGGTGTATGGAGTTTAAAAACACAGTGGAGTACTTCCTGTACTATCACATGACATCACAAGGTAGAACAGTGTTAGGAGAAGATCTCAGCCTAATAAGCAGAGTTGGTGTGTTTAAACATGTGTGAATACATGTGCGAAATACAACTCCAAGTATGTTTTTGATGAGAAAACAATACACCAGAAAATAGTGTAATATGGGCCCTGTAAAAATCCTCCTGATGTTTCTCATGTCCGCCTGATCACCACATCTTATTATGAGTAAAATGTGTTGATGTGTGAACATGCCTGGAGCTGGTCTCTCTAAAGAGCCCGTGTACAGTACTGACAGTGGTGCAGCTATGCCTCTGACAATAGAGCCTCTGCAGAGTCTGACAGAAGGGGAGAATAATTACAGCACCTCTTCTCTCTGTCACTGCTTCTGGATGGTGCTTGTGTCTGAATGCATAAAAAATGTGTTGCCATGTTTGATTCATTGGTTACAGCCCGGCCCACATTCACGCTCACAATGGAATTAAAGCGTAAAAGGTCAATTTAATGTGCAGGCGTCTCACAAAAGAACAGGAATAAAAGATGCAAGGTATTATGCATCAGATATTGTGAATAGAGTACTTATTTATTGCGTTTATGAAGGCTGTGCTGTGCTTTATGTGTCAGATGGAGTCTTGCACTTTGGGCACTTAATTACAGTGAAACATGGAGGAAATGTGAAGGAAAAAAAACTCTTTATATTTTTCAGCTTTGTTAGATTCTCAGAAGAATGAAAATGATTAAGTATTATTCAGAACATTTTGGGAGTGTTAAAGCATGGACAAAAACACAAATCTAAAAAGTATTGTAGACTATAGACTTTAAGCACATTCAGATTTTAAGTTTAAGTAAGATAAAAGTAAGATCTGTAACACTGTAAGCAGGGGTGTAGTGGTTGTGGTACACGGGGGTACGCTGTACTTCTCCTGATGTGAGATATAAAAATAATAACAAATCTAAAATAGCTACTACTTAAATGTCAAACCGGAGCTATTGGCAATGGTCAAAACAACCTGCATACGTTCATGATATCTGCAGTACTGTGTACTATAGTATCCTATAGTGACTAGCGACATGAGGGACCAGGAGTGATCCCATGACTGAACCAGGACTAAACAACAACTGAAGCAGGACTAAAACAGGACTGAGTGTCAGGACAGGATCAGAGGTGTGGCAGGGTGACACCCTGCTCCATGGGCTCAGAGTTCTCTCTCTCAAATCCAAGATTAGTCCTGGTTTAGTCCTGGTTTAGACCTGGTTTTAGACCTGGTTTTAGACCTGGTGTAGTCCTGGTTTAGTCCTGGTTTAGACCTGGTTTAATCCTGGTTCAGTCCTGGTTCAGTCTTGGTTTAGTCCTGGTTTTAGACCTGGTGTAGTCCTGGTTTAGACCTAGTTTAATCCTGGTTCAGTCCTGGTTCAGTCTTGGTTTAGTCCTGGTTTAGACCTGGTTTAGACCTGGTTTAATCCTGGTTCAGTCCTGGTTCAGTCCTGGTTTAGTCCTGGTTTAGTTCTGGTTTAGACCTGGTTTAGTCCTGCTTTAGTTCTGGTTTAGACCTGGTTTAATCCTGGTTTAGTCCTGGTTTAGTCCTCCTGGTTCAGTCACGAATCGTGTACCCCCACTTAAAAAATCCCCACTACACCAGTAATTGTAAGATATTGTCTCATGTCTCCAATATTAACTTGTCTCTATCATGTTCGATTAGTAAAGGAATGGATTATTTAAAGGTCCTCTGTTACACAAAATGGATTCTTAGGCACTTTTAGGCATCATCAAAAACATACCTGGAGTTGTGTTTTGTTAGATTCACACATGTTTGAGTAACTCTGGTTTATTGTTCTGTTTACATCTCCAAAGCTCCAAATGCTCTGTTCCACCTTGTGCTACATTTTACCTTTAGTTCAGTAGAAATAGACAATTGGGGCATCACAAGGTGGAATAGAGGGTTTTGAGTTCGAGAGAAAAACTCAGCCTAAATATGCAGGATGTGGGAATGAAATAAAACACAACTCCATATTTATGATGAGGAAACAACTTTTTAACATAGATCAGAAAATAATGTAATATAGCCCCCTTTAACACTGGGGTAATGCCACTATCTAAAAGCAAGTAATGTCTATTTTGATAATTTGTGCCTTATGATAGATTTCTATGAAGGACACATTTACATTTCTGTATAATTAAACTGTATAATTTATGTAATCATTTCTAAGAAGTTTTTCATTTAGTATACCCATGTCCTTTCTCGTGTCTGTTTATAAACTAAAACTTTGCTGGCCACTTTCTGTACTGAATTGCAGCGTGTGGGTGCCAATCTTCTCGATAACATTCTTTTGGCTGTCTTCTCTCAGGTACACAGAGGAGGAGATCCGGCAAAAAGTGAGCACTTTCAGGCAGATGCTGATGGACAAAGAGGGTGTCATTACCAGAGAAGGCACACAGCAGCCCATGTAAGTCCTCTCCATTACACACACTTACACACACTCGCTCTGCTTTTCGTGCTATGTTTCTTGATGGCAAACATGTATAGAGAAAATTGTACTCATTAGTAAGTTCCAAATAATATTACTCAAATAGAAGTAAAAAGTAGTGGTTTTAGAAATTACCGTAGACCGTATAAATGGACACAACTAACCTGCTGGCTGCTGTGTACCAAATAGGAACTGAGCAGGTGGCATGCCAGCTATATCAACTCCAACTGACTTTGCATTGAAGCATTGTCATCCCTCTCTTTGTAACTGCCGCAGTGAGCCCCGTCATTTTGGTATTAAAATTTTCATATTAACCCTCTTTACATGATCCTGCTGTTTTTATTTAGCTATTTTCTGTATTCTTAAGAGTTTGTGGAAGCTACTTTTCTGTGCAAGAAACACAAATCTTCACATCATTTAATATTGTCAACATAAACTTATTATAGATTTGCCCACTCTGGAAAGAGTAACCTAAACTTTTATTCAATTAAGAATACTGTTACTCCAATAAAAAATATTACTCAAGTAGAAGTAAAAGTGCTAGAAAACATTGTTATTTGTAAACTAGAGCTGAAGTTGATTAAAAACATGTCCAGGTGACCGATAAGTTGAATAAAAAGGGTAGTGAGGTAAAAGCTTTCAAAAATATTATCTCGATGTGTCCGACCCAAACTGCACTTTCAAGACTACAGCAGCGAAGGAGTTAATGCAATATAACGACAGATAAAATTTGTGAATGTTTAGTTTAACATGCCTGTGAGCTAAATCACTCACTAACTTTCTGCTGGTACCCATATAAATCCTCATAATCTAAATAAAATGATTAGACTAATATAAGTTTTGGTCGACTAAGACACCATCGGCCAATTAATCAAGTAAACAACTACTGGCCTATGCAGCCCTATTGTAATTCTTTCATTAATAACCATAAACACGGACTAGTAGACTTAATAAATAATAGCACATAATAATAGAATAGACTTACAATAATATTCGAGTAAAATAAAGCTAAAGGCGCAGACTGATTTAAAATAGATATAACTCACATAATAATTGGTGTCTAATAATATCTCTCTAAAGCATCTCCAACACATTGTAGGTTGCCAGTACTATTTTCAAAGGTATGTTTAAGCATGTGCCGCATATATCGCCACTGTAATTGTTGCTATGGGAGACAGCCATCACAGTTTAGTCATATGTGTTCATCCATGTGTAATCGCCAAACAGCAGGAAGTGGGCGTGTCTGCTCTCCTGAGTCAGTCTCTAGCTCATACGTGTGAATGATCAAGTCATAGTGTTGACACTGTGACCTGCTGTCTTCGAGCTAATAGGCGCTAATGACGCTAGCGCTTCCAGTCTCACTGACTAGACTAATGGCCCTCCTCTGCACTTTAGCCAGCTCCTGACATTTAAAGGAGCTACGTCTGTTTTTTACTGTCTCCAAAACGGGAAAAGCAGAACTAGCTCATTTTAAATGGTGTGCTGTGGTCCCAAAGTTATTCCTTACTTATTTAATTCAAAGTATCATAATTATTCACCCTGGTGAGTTTATAAATGCTTTTCACAACTCTCAGACAACAAAGTTTTGCTACCAATTAGATGCAGACAGTACACAGACTGGACTTATTTTGCCCTTAAGAGCTGTTTTTACATCATATCTGTACTCGTGGTGGAAGAAGGAACCAATTTTGGTACCCAATTCTGATGATTAAGTGATGCTGGACGAAAAAAATCTGTCAAAGTAAAGCAGATACCTAAAATGTATACCTAAGTACAGTACTTTACTACTTTTACTTCATTACTTTTACTTCTGCTATCTGTACTGGGGCGAGATATATTTTGCTCATATACATGGAAAAATTGGGTGCAGGCCCTTTAAGCAGAGAGGGGTTTGCATCTGAGGGAAAAAAGATGAATACGATGATTTGTAAAAGTTTTTTGCGAGTATTAGTTCTCTTCCAAGGGCACTCCAGAGGCAGGATGCACGGCTTTCTCTCCACCAAAAAGCCTTGATGTGGAAAATTGAAGACGGCTGTAATTTGCTTATCCCCCAACTCTTGCCACACACTAGCGCTCAACAAATCAACAACTTAACTCAAAAGTAAACATCTTGTGTCCACATTAAAACTTTTCCAATATCTGCTTTTATTAACATGCAGTCGGCTATGGCCCATCCCTCGACCCGCTCCCTGGGTTTGGACTGTCCATAGAAATATGTTTTTAGGCACAGAAGACGATTTAGGATGTTTTTTTTTTTTCACAAAGGAAGTTTATTTCAAAGCCACAAAAAGTTACAACAAGCTTACAAAAGCTCCCCTGCTCTCAACTAGTGCCTCGCTGGGGGAACTGTTTAGAACTGCAGTCTAGGTCAAGACATATGGACTAATCAATGTGGGGCACTCAAATGCACCTCGTAAATAACATTGTTAAGAAATTAAATTGAAAATGACACCATAAAAACAAAACAAAACAATGGGGGCTGTCAGTGAACCTCAAAACAATCATGTTTAAAGCCATTAACAATAATCATGTTTATAATAATAAACAGATCTAATCATGTAACAATCATGCCAAAATAACTGAAAATTCACAAAGTACACACCAATTCTTCTGCGTAATGCAATAAGTGATGGTTGTGTCAGCTCTGCCCCTGTGTAAACCAAAATACATACATTTTTGTCCTTTTTCTCAAATATGCAAATGTTACACTCCCTGACTTGCGATATAAGTGAAAAAGGATGTGAAAAGTGAATATAGAAATGTGTATTTTAAAGGTGCTAGATCAGTATTATTGATCATTGAAAGCACTTCTGGGCCAATGAGACTCAAATGCCACAGATATTGAGCGGGTCTAACCTCTCCCATTAAACTTGCCCCCTATAAAAGTGCATTCCTCTGCTGTAATTGGTTATATGGAAAATTCAGTTTGAAAATCAATTTATCAACCGATTTTGTAATGTCCTTCCTCTTTTTGATCAGGCAAATTCAGTCCAGTGAATATAATATTGTGTTAGTTATAATACTTGCAATATATGTTACAACAATAATATAATTTAGTTACATTACATTACATAAATTTAAAAAAGCATCTTACTAAATGTGAATATTGCTGTTGTCATCATTCTGATAATAACTGATTCTAATTAAAAGTGCACTATGTAATAGGGATGTAACAATAACCAAAATATCATGATGTCGCGTCATCAAAAGTCTCACAGTAATATCGTGGACTGTCACAATATATTGAATCACAAGTTGCTTTGCTTAAATGCATGGTTTTATAGTAGCCAACAGCTTTTGAACATAGAGAACTACATATCCCATGATTCTTTTCAGTGCAGACAACATGAAGAAATCTTGTCAAGGTATTTTAAAATCAAAAAAGTGTCCTATCTCATATTATATTAACTTCAAAACAATATCACAATAAATCTCGTACTGTGAGATGTATATCATGATAATATTGTACTGAGAAATTTGGATATTGTTACATCCCTGCTATGTAACTTTCCAACAGCCAGTAAAAATACATGTTTATGCTTTTTTCCTCAATATCAACACCAGATAGTTTAATGCAACACTTAAATATGTTTAATGCATTGCTGTGGAACATTTCAGTTCAAACAACATCTGTATGGAGACTAGCAGGTGGCAAACCCTCTTCCCCACCACCACCAGAAAGTGCGAGACTGCAGATGGAGAAGGCTCATGGAGGACAAGAAAATGACAGGGCTTAAAATAAAACTGACTTCCAAACAGAACTATTTTCTCTGAGATTTTAAAGACTAGCCTGAAGCACCAAATCAGTACTTTCACTATCTGAGGCTAACAGATGTATGTATTGAGCCGGAGTTTACCACAGCCTGCTAAGCTTTCCTTCATCCTCTTCTATTGACAGCACAGGCCTGTCAGAAGTAGCTTAATACTCTTATACACAACAGCAATAAACAGCCCACAGGAAGCTCTGACACGAGAACTCATAACTCTGCTAACCGTGCCCTGCATTGATTTGCAGCACAACTGATGGGACCAGCTCAGATCCACACACCCAAGTCTGCACCATCACGCTGATCAATACTGAAGCTAAACCCCCACTTCTACACAGTTATTCAATATTTGTCTAAATGCCCCAGGCAAATACATTTTTATGAAAAGGGAGAATATATGTTGTATTTGGACAAACAGGGATGTGCTGCCTGCAGGTGGTATACTGAGCAGAAACACTGGTATTACTTGTAACTCCCACCAGGATATTCACAGTTCATTATTTACAAAAGAGCTAGAAATAAAAATTTAAAAAAAGGTGTATTTGAACTCACGCATTTCCTCACTATGATTTATCTCAGGTATAAGAAGTTATATATTTTGTTCTGAATGTTACGTGAATTCATGAGAGATTTCTTTTGGAGGTGGACATTCTCTTTGTTCTGGCTTTAAATCCTCCATCTTGGCAATCATTGCCAACACAGAATGTATGTCTTCATCTACATCCATCTCGACCGCTTTGTTTACTGTTGTGTTGTACCACAAAAGAGACCCAGTCATGGCTTCACAGCTCCTCGCTGATTGCCCAGTGCGTGGTCTACAAGTTCCGGGGTTCTTGCAAACTGTTTAGTGTATTCCAATTCCTGACCTAGTTGCTGGAGAGAAATAAAATTGAAATTACCAGCCTGGCTAACAAATTAGCAGCTGTGGTTGGATTGGCTCAAGTTTGGACTTTCACGCTCTATTGTCTCATTCCAGTCCCTTCTGAATTTGAACAGAATGTAGAAGGGACTGGCTGACTGGAAAAATACATGCCCTTCTTTTACACAATAGAAAGCGAAGGCATCACTTACAAAATGTGTTTTAATGTGAACACTATAAATTCAGATCTCCACCAAGGCATTAGCCATATCTTGAAATCGTTGAAAATTAGACACAATCCAAGATCTTCCATTCAAGTAAAGTATGTGATTACTAGTTTCTGGCAATAGTGG